GCTTCTTTGCACCTCCTTCGTAAGTGTTGGACCTGCCCGTGGATGTCTGCCGTATTCCAAGAAGAATGGTGTCTCCTTGGTGCCCTCATGTGCTGCATTGTTGTAGGCAAACTCAGCAGAGCTAAGTAGCCTTGACCAGTCGTCGAGTTGATAGTCGATGTAACAGCGAAGATATTGCTCCAGAACTTGGTTGACTCTTTCAGTCTGACCATCAGTCTGTGGGTGGTACGTGGTGGACATGGTGGACTCTATCCCTAGTAGCTTACACCATTCCTGGAACAGTGTAGCCGCAAACTGAACACCTCGGTCGGATATAATCTGGGATGGTAAGCCGTGAAGCGGCCACACCCGATTGTACAGCAATTCTGCTAGATCCTTTGCCGAGAACTCGTTTGTTATTGGGTAGAAGTGAGCCCGCTTTGTCAATCGATCCACGACTACACAAATGGCATCATAACCATCTGATTCTGGGAGCTGAGTGATGAGGTCGACAGTCATAACTTCCCATGGCCCTTCCGGGACACGGTTGGGTTGCAATGGTCCATACGGCTGCTGTGAACGATTCTTCATCCGTTGACAAATGTCGCAGCCGGTCACATACTTCTTGACAAATACCGACATGCTAGGCCACCAATAGTTGCGTGAGACGAGTTCGTATGTCTTCCACCTTCCGGGATGTCCGGCAGAGGGGAGATCATGATGCATTTGAACTATACGCCTGCGCAAGTGGTCCTGCTCGCTGTTGGGGATATATACTTTGCCGCGATAAAGCAACAATCCATTCTCGTAGTTCCAGTCCACAAGGGACTTGCCAAATTCTCTAGGACCTGACTTCAGCAATTGCTGATAGTTCTTGGTCACATCATCATGTAGGAGTGCTTCCTTCACTTCCCTCAGGAGTTGATCGTCATTAACGGGTGACTCATGGGAGGCCTCGACTGCATTGATTGCAAAAAACTCCGGTTTCAACAAAGTCTGATCCCGATTATCGAGGTTCACCCCCTCCTCATGGTCTGGCCTCCTGGACAGAGGGTCGGCGGTAAGCATTGTTTTTCCTGGCTTATGGCGCAAAATAAAATTGAATCGCATGAGGTACAGAGCCCATCTCGCTTGTCTCCTGGTCAACTTCTGGGCGGTCTTGAAGTAAGTCAGATTAAGATGATCCGACCAGATCTCAAATTTGTCCGAATGTCCCTCCAAATAATGCCTATACTCCTCGAGTGCTCGAATGATAGCAAGCATCTCTTTGTCATATATCTCATAGTTCCGCTGATGAACATCAAGTGACTTCGAGTAAAAGGCAACTGGGTGCCACAACTTGTCAGTTGGGTCCAATTGAGAGAGAACTGCGCCAGTTGCAAAGTCGCTGGCGTCAGTCTCAAGTCTAAATGGGGACGTTGCATCCGGAATTCGAAGAATGGGCGCTGAGGTAAAGGTCTCTTTCAGACCATTGAATGCCTCTTCCTGCGCCACATCCCACACCCATGGTTGATCCTTTTTGGTCAACATAGTGAGCGGTTTGGCGTACTTGGCAAAGTCCTTGATGAATCTTCGATAGAAGTTCGCAAAGCCTAAGAAAGCTTGGACTTGCTTGACCTTAGTAGGCCATGGCCACTCAGCTACTCCTGAAAGTTTCTTTGGGTCCATCTCGATATGTCCTTTGGAGATAATCATGCCGAGGTACTCAATGCTGCTTTTTTCAAAGGAGCATTTTTCCGGTTTAGCAAATAGATCATTCTCCCTCAGCCGCTTCAGGACTTCCTTTGTAAGCTTACGATGTTCCTTGAGATCATTCGAACAGATGAGAATGTCATCAAGGTAGACTATGACTTTTCCTCCTCGTATGAAATCACTGAGTACGTCATTCATCATTGCTTGGAAAATTCCTGGTGCGTTGCAGAATCCGAAGTACATGACTGTGGCTTCGTATAGCCCTCGATGTGTGATGAAAGCTGTTTTCCATTCGTCACCCTTCCGGATGCGAACATTATTGTATCCCCATCGCAGATCGATCTTAGTGAATATCGATGCTTGACTGAGTGTATCAATCAAGTCTGCTATGTGGGGGATTGGATAACGGTTCTTCACAGTCACGTCATTGATCTTCCGGTAATCCACAACTAAACGAAGCCCTCCATCATGTTTCTTGACAAAGAAAACAGGAGAGGCTAGCGGGCTTTTGGACTTTCGAATATACCCCTTTCGGAGTTCGTCGTCGATCCACTCGTCGAGAGAATTCCTCTCCTTAGGAGACATCGGGTATAGTTTGGCCGGTCGAGGTAGGGCAGCTCCTTCCTCGAAGTCAATACCATGATCATATGGTTTGCGCTCCGGCATCTGCTCCGATTTCTTTTGTGAGAATACGTTCCCGAACTCATGTAGATATTCAGGGATGAGAGACTTCCACTTAGTGGTGTCCGCATCCTCCTCCTCAACATCCTTGTTCAGAATGCTTGCGACAAATTCTGCCATTTGTAGATCCTCCGGATCGTCTGTCGAGATCCAGTTGATGTATGGATTTTCAGTACACTCCTCTCCTAAGGCGTCCAGCGGAGTGACTAAGGGTTCCTCCCTTGGTAACTGAAGCTCGTCGGTTTCTTCATCAGTCACACAATTAGTTTTACGAGCTTTGGGGGCACAGCTCTCAGGGCACCTGGTGTACCTCCACTCCCCTTTGGCCCAGTCGATCTCGGGATTGTATTTCCTGAGATAGGTCATGCCGAGGATCATGTCCTTACTCCCCAATTCTGCAACTAGCAGTGGGTGTGTCGACTTATGTGATCCTATTTCGACGTAGGCTCTAACGGACTTATTTATTTGACCGCTTTTATTGGAGGTCCCGTCTGCGTTATAAACATTGTACGGGGTTGCCAGCTTATGCGTCACCAGGCTGTTACTTTCAACAACTGACCGATTGATGAACGATGTTGTGGCCCCTGAGTCTACCAAAGCTTCGACCTGCACTTTCTTTCCGTATACCCACAGTGTCACAGGCAGAGTGAATGAATTCTTGTTGCGAGAGATATTTACAAGACTGCTGTGTACACTATCTACATTGATTCCGACGGTGGGTTCCGATTCCTTAAGTACATGTTCGCAGGTAGTCACATGTACTTCTTCCAAAAATCCGAGGTAGCTGCGGTGATACAACGGTCTATACTCCTATATCAATGCCTGACTCGTAGACGACGAGCGAGGACTTATGGACAGTGCGTCGTCCTGAAGATCGAGCGAGGAAGTCGAGAATGACCACTACCCCAAGCGAAGAGGAGCAGAGACTTGAATGAATAACCAGGTCGAACTTAGGGTTCGACCGACTGATGGTACAACTACTTATACAAGTACTGACTACGCACGGACCATCGTGTCTATGTGGTCGTGTTAGTGAAGAAAGAAACGTAGTGGTACGATACCAGGCAC